AACATTTCCCTAGCTCTTTGTCAGGTGTTATTCAATACATTCAAGAACCAGAAGCATGCAGGCACCAGCCAATCAAAACAGATGCTGCCTATAGCACTAGAGCAGAGAGCCTCTGTTTTACCAGGAATTGCGCTTGGAGTTGCTATATCATACACAGTTTTAGGGGTCCAGGGTCTAGAGCAGCGGTTCTCAACCTGTGGGTCGCGACCCCTTTGGGGGTCAAACGACCCTTTCACAGGGGTCGTCTAAGACCATCGGAAAACACATATATAATTACCTATTGTTTTTGTGATTAATCACTATGCTTTAATTATGTTCAATTTGTAACAATGAAATTTGGGGTCATCACAACATGAGGAACTGTATTAAAGGGTCCCAGCATTAGGAAGGTTGAGAACCACTGGTCTAGAGGAAGATGTACAGGAGTTGTCGTGAGGAAAGCTACTCAGGACAATGGCTGTATATCAACTGATACAGAAATAATTCAATATTTTAACAATTCTCATGGCCATATGGATTCTACTGTCCGCATTACCTTCTCTCCCAGACCCTGGATAGTTTAACAAAGGGCATTCCAAACTGGGTGTGAACAGCAGAAACAGCCAGGAACTGGTTTCACATAAAGCTTTGTCAGTTCTCTTCTAATACTTGGCTGTTTACACAAGAACAATCAAATGTATTGGCTGGAAAATTCCGCTCACTATGAGAGAACAGACTGATTCCCATAATACATTTTTGCTGGAGTAGCTAGCTGGGCCAAACCAGCTCTGTTAAGAAAACACCACCCACCTCAGTCTGGTCAGCCTTGAACCAGTCTGTTGTCCTCATACAGACACCAAGTCATAGTACAATAGACGGTAGTTTGCCAATGAATGTTAGTTGGCTAGCCAACAATTTAGTAATAAGGGCATTGTATCAGGCACACTCCCAGTTATTATTCTTGAATGCCAAGCAACACAGCATCAACCTTGGATAACATGCAAGGAGCACATTTCTTTCTCTCAAGAAGTTTTTACAAATAACCACACCCAAATTAGAAATAATCAATAACAAGATATCTAATAAAAGTCAAAGACATCTCTCCATCTTTGAAATCCTTAAACCATATAACTTTTCAAGTGTTCTCAAGTGATTACTTTATAATTCATATAAGTAAATATATCAAAATGCAATGAAACTTTAGATTCATAAAACACAAAATAGACTGTTGCATTAATAGATGATTCTCTAGGTGTTTTTGGACAAATTTTTGCTAGAAATGCCCCATACATCAATACAATATCTAGACCTGCAATTACTTCAAAGATTTTTTTTTTTGCTTCTACTATATTGCTAGTGCTTTTCCTTTGCAGAGAAGAACTGGGAAAACCATTTACATTAGCCTAAACTTAAGGTTTTTGTAACATTTTCCCAGCTATCTAATACTTTTACATTAGGGCTAATTTTTTTCTCTAAAGAAAAGTACTATAGTAAAACCCAATTGATTTTATAGTTTATAAATAGGGGGGTAAGGGCCTGTGCTGGGATGTGGAAAAGGGCTGGGAGAGGCCAATTTGGGTGAAAAAAAGGAGACATATGTAATACTTTTTCAACAATAAAGAATTAAAAATAAATAAATGAAATTATAGTTTATAAAGTCCATGTAACTAAAGTAAGTTTCTATGAAGACTGTAATCATAAAAATATATTTCTACAGTTTTTGTTTTTATTTAAATCATAATTATTTCTTTTTAGATATCAAGCCCAGTTTTTAATCAATTTAGATATCAGCTTCCTATTACATTAACACTAAAACACAAATTTAATAAAAACATTTTGTAAGATCAAAGTCAACATTAATTAATATCTAAACTACTTGAAAATTGATTTTAAACATTTCAATCTATCATATTTAAATGAAAAAATTAACAAACTTTAGTTGCTTTTTGACAAGAAGCATTCATGAAATTTATCTAAAGAGTCTTCCAATTCTGTGACTAAATTGATTCCAAATTTTTCAATGAGAAAGAATAAGAGTGGTCATATTCTCAATCATTACCACATCCAAACAAACATAAAGTAATCAGTAGCTTAGATGCCTAAAATTAACAGAGTTATATTTGTAATAACTCAAGGTACATCATCTCCTAGTACTCTCCCAGAATCAAATCTGTGCTTCCATTCTATAAAATTTTCTTATAATTAGTTCAGTACATAATCATGTCAAGGGTGTTTTAGGCAACTCCAAGATGCATGGGCCTTCAATGGGCATTTGATAGTTGCTTTGCCAACATCCAGCCTCTCTTCTTCAACAACAACCCTAAATTTCATTTGGACTTCTACCCTTTCTTTAATCTCAATCTCTGCCACTCTAAGGCAATCAGTACATCATCCATCCCTGGCCACAGCTACTAGTTCAATGATGGGAAGTGACCACAATTGCTAAATTGGTGAAATTTAGATCTGTTGTGGGGCTGTCATTGTTTTTCTACTGGATTAATCCTGAAATGATGAAGACCTTGAAGTCAGTGCAGCTCTTTGGCCACTGCCAGAACTGAGAAAGGAGGCAGTAGAGAAGAGGCAAAGCTAGAAAATGGAGAGAAACTATTGACATTACTAGAGGCCTGGTGCATGAAATTCGTGCACAGGGGGCGGGGGGTGTCCCTCAGCCCAGCCTGAACCCTCTCCAATCTGGGACCCCTAGAGGGATGTTTGACTGCCTGATCTGGTGGGATCAGGCCTAAACGGGCAGTCGAACATCCCTCTCACAATCCAGGACTGCTGGCTCCCAACCGCTCGCCTGCCTGCCTGCCTGATTGCCCCTAACTGCTTCTGCCTGCCATCCTGATCACCCCCTAACCACTCCCCTGCCAGCCTGATCGACGCCTAACTGCTCCCCTGCCAGCCCGATCTCCCCCAACTTCCCTCCCCTGCAGGCCTGGTCCCTCCCAACTGCCCTCCCCTGCTGGCCGATCGCCCACAACTGCCCTCCCCTGCCGGCCATCTTGTATCCACATGGGGGCAAGCCATCTTGTGTGTTGGAGTGATGGTCAATCCTTTATTATATAGGATTTTTTAGTTGAATTTATTGGGGTGATATTAGTTAATAAAATTAGACAGGTTTCAGGTATACAATTCTATAATACTCCATCTGTATATTGTATTTTGTGTTTACCACTCTGAGACAAGTCTCCTTCCATCACCATGGACATTATTTGGGCACTAAATTCAGTTACTTTCCCCTTGTATAACTGGTTTCAGTGGGATTATGTCCTACTCACAGTAGGAAATGTCCTGACTATCTCTAAACCATTCCACATTTATGACTAATTAAATAATTATTAACTCTTAACTCAACAAGATTCACAAATTATGTGTGAGTCTCAAAGAGAAAAAAAATTGACAATTTCAATAAAATAAAAATTCATTGTTTTTAAAGCTGGAGGCCTTAGGCTCACAATCATTATGTAAAGGCTATTTCTTCTCTCTTTGTACTCTTCCAGTTAAGCTAAGCCCTCAGATTCCTATTCTGTAAAAATGCCAATGAGCAGTGCTGAAATCCACAAAAATGATTGGACCTACCATATATAGAGTACCATGAGTTCAATCTTAGCTAGGTCCACAATAGTCTTGTAATGTTTGAAAAGCTATCTTTTATTTGGCTTTTAATTCATTACTAACTCACCACAGTGATTATTTTAAATATTCATTGACTCTCCTCAGGCCATCACTATACTCTCATCTTCATCTTATCCTATGTGAACTTTTTCAGATTCCATCCTCCATCCCCCCCAACCTACAAACCCCCAAGCTTTTGAGAGCTACCTATACTATAGATTATGTGTGTGTGTCCACAGTTATGTTGCACATATAAACTAACATCCTGTATTTCTAGAATCAATTTCCTTGTCTTCTAAATAGTATATGTTCCAAGCACTTATTGGGGAGAACTGGATTCCAGAATTTATGGTAATCATTTTCCTCAGTTTACATTTATCAAGTGTTTACTATGTAGCAGGCACTATCCTAGTTGCTTCACATTATTAACTTCTAAAATGCTCTCAACAACCTATGAAGTAAATGCTATTATCCTAATTTTACATGTAAATAAATAGAGACACAGAGAGATCAAGATCACACCTTAGTACATAGTGGAGATGAGATTCTATCTAGGTCAGTCTTACTCAGAACCTATGCTCATAACTGTTATCCCATGGTGCCTCTTAAAGGTTCCATGAAGACATTCTTACATTTGTGTATATAACATTACAGTGTATGCACAGCTCTTATATTAAAATGCCCTATTAAATTAATAGCTAAGTTACTATTACTTCTGTTTTACAAATGCAGAAAAAAATTCAAAGATTAATGGGCTTATTTACCCAAGGTCATTAAACTAATGAATGGCGATTCCACATCTTCCACTCAAAGGAAATTTAGATCAGAAAATTGTTTTTCCACAGGCTCTTTCAATAGAGATAAATGTTTGAAATGTCCAGGAAAATATCTGGTCACACTCATTCTAACTAACTTTATAGTATAAATGGCACCCTCTGGGCTATCTGAGTGACATAAGCACTAATGATCAATTAATATTATAATTTATCTCCACTCTTCAAGTTGATACCCTCGCCTCTACTGAAATTGCTGTCTTCTTTACACATATTTTGATTTTCAATATCATAATTTCTGAGTCTGACTCAGCTGGTTGGGTGAGCCTATGAGGAGATTACAGCACAGTAAAAACTCAAGATAGAAGGTGGGTCTCACCAATTCTTCACCTAACCTCTATCTTCCCTTTGCAAGTTACAGACAATAGAGAGGTAAACTTAATCCTGGCTGTATTTTTTATCTGGAAAAACAAAGGTCTGGCTTTATATGACGCTTGATGGTAGATTTATAAACCCCTGCCCCATCAAACAAACAAACAAAACTAAACATCTACTTGTTATGAGGTAAATTATGTTCCCCCAAAAGATATATGGAAGCTCTAACCCCAGTAACTCAGAATGTGATCTTACCTGGAAATATGCAAGAGCTAGAAGAGGCAAGGAAGACTCTTCCTCCAGAAGAGGGTATGGCTCTGCCAACACCTTCATTTCAGACGTTAGCCTCCAGAAATAAGAAAGAAAAAATTTCTATTGCTTAAAGCAATCCAGGTTGTGGGACTTTGTTATGGCAGTACTAGGAAAGTAACACACTTCTCTTTTCTTCACTTCCCTTCTCTTATCTCCACATTCAAATCTTTTTCAGGATATGTAAATATATATATATATATATATATATATATATATATATATATATATATATATATATAATATAGAAGATGTGTTATATATTTTAAATATATCTTTTATAGAACATAAGATTTCAGTGAGAAGCTTTGAACTCAGACAGAGAGGAAACAATGAAGATTAGGAGAAATGGTTATTTGTAATTTGACTCTTGACAGAGAATTAATAGAAGCAGAAATATGCATTTAGTTTCACACAATTGTCTCATATTTTATAGAGTATAAACAATAACCAATAACCGTGTCTAAGACAAAGTACTAGATAAATCACTTTGGTTATTCTAAAAGACCCACTTTTGCCACCAAAACTATTTCCAATCTATTTTTCCCATGTTCTTATCCCTTTAAAATTAGAGATCTAAGTCCTTCACAATAGCCAGCAGTAACAAATGGACACTTCTTGTGATCTTAATTCCAACTGCTTGATTTCTTGGGCATGCCTTTTAAACTCAAGCCACAAACTGATTTCTAGCACCAGTATCTAACTTCTAATACTTAATCCTGCCCCCCACTTAGCTCACCCATCTTTCTTCAGTCTATGGGACAAACAGGCCAAACTTGGTATGATCATTTGACTGGAGTGCCTGCGTGGACATATGGACATCACAGCAAGCACCTGTCTAGTTTTAAATTGGTCTCCCAGACTGCTACATCCTAGTCCCACTGCTTTCATTGTTTTATACACAAAACGGTAAGCCTATTCAGTGAATAAGCTGTATTCCCTCCTGCTGCAACAAACAAGATGCCAAACAACCTTCTTTATGTTGGAAAAACAGTTGAGTTTTCTCTGACAATTAAACCAACAAAGGCCTTAAGTATTGGACTCATGAGTTTGTAAAAATCAAAAGGGGTCACTTCATCTCATTTCCATCAGAATTGGTCACATCTGGTAGTCATCCTATAGCATTTAAAAAGATATTTTCAAATAATACCATTCAACAGATTGAGGTATGTTCTGCCTATTTTGCAGCTAACTCTTCCTGGCAGGGTTATCAGAATGTCGTTCTGCTTAGAAACTGGGCTTTCCACAGGTAGGATAAACATTTTTGTGGTGAATTCAAATCCATCATGCTCTATGATTGCCATAGCTAGGAAATAGGAAGATTTGGAAAACATTGGCCCTATCTTCAAGCACCGTAGCTGCCCATGACTGTGCTAAAGCACACAGTGCTTTCTGGGTGAGTGAGAATGCAAGTTGGACTTGCATAATAGAGTAATTGTTCCTACTCCCACCTCTGGGTTTCTGGTGAGAACTGAGTGAGCTCCAGCACTTACTAAAGGCCTGCTTACAGCATCTGAAATTTGAGAGAGGCTGCCCAGGGGACTGAAAGCACTTCCTCCTTCTGAATTCTCTCCGCTCTATCCCTGTATTAAGCCAGATCTTCAACAAGTGGAACACTTACACTTTATTATCTAAGCCCCCTTAAGAATGCCTTCACTGAGTAATGGCTTAATATCATATCCTCAACCTTCAAAGTGGACTGATTCAAGAAGGGTCAATTTGAACAATGTTTCCATAAGATGAAGTTGAAATTGGAGATTTTATTTATCTTATTATTAAACTCTGTACAAAGATTCACATAAAAAATTCTCTTTGAATTGGCAACCTGAATGAAGGTTTTCTGCACAGACTAATGCATATACCTGCTTTTGGATTAAACAATGAAAGTTATGTAATCAATTTATTTCCCTCATGCTTTAGATGCCAAAAATTTCAAATCAATTCAGTTCATTGAATTTGTTTACTATACTTAGAGACTAACCTCTTTTCTTTCTACATTTTTTTTATACTAGCGGCCCAGTGCAGGAATTCATGCCTGGGTGGGGTCCAGACAGCCTGTTCCTATGGGGGCTGATCAGGGCTGGGCCAGCTGGGGGGAGGGGACGCAGGAGGTTGGCCAGCTGGCCCTGTCCCCGCATTGGCTGGTTGGCCGGCCGCAGTGTATGTCATAATGACTGGTCCTTCCAGTCTTTCCGGTATTTCCGGTCCTTCTGGTCCTTCTGGTTGCTTGGCTTTTATATATATATAGATAGCTGCATATATCTGTCTTATTACATGTTATGACTCCATTTTACAAGGATTTTAAAATATTTTGGATATAGGATAGTAATTCCTGAAAACTAAAATGCTTCTGTATAATTTTCTTTATTTTTTTCCTTAAAAGGGGAGTTCATAAGACCCTTCAGGGAACCACAAGTAATATTCTTCCTTGGGGGTGCAATGACAATGGAAGGAGAAAAATTATCCCACTCCTGTATTACACTAGCAAAGTATTATACTAGCTTGATGCTCTGCCTTTTTTAAATCTCCTTTTTTGGTCTTGGTGACTCCCAGAAGTATACAAAATTCAAAAAGAAACTTAAGATAAGTTTATGCTTTCTGCTCTCTTCCACAAAGCATTAATAGCCTTTGGAATTGAAATTGTTTTATTAATTTGATTAGGTTGAAGGAAAATCCACGGCTTTTATGAATAATTCAAGTTTCTGTCAGATCCTTGAAAGCCTTATGGAAAGTACTGTTAAACCTCAAAAATGCCCTCACAGTAGACTATACATTTAATTTTCAATAACATTGATTTATAGTTTTATAAAGAAAAATAATAAATATAATGAATTACCTCCATATTTCTTGATCTCAGTCACTATAAAATAACTGCTGTAGTTTTACATTTCCAGTGTGAAATATTAAATGCATAAATCAAAACAAAATTATTTTTCATCTTAGAGAGAGAGACTGGTTCCTGCGACTGACAAATTCATTTTATTTTTAAATTAATGTTTTAAGAAAAAAAAATTCCATTGAATCTCTAGCAACTTTTAAAAGAAAAAAAAAAGCTTGCATTTTATTATTTTGCTTATGATGTCTTCCACAATAGGGGCTGTGTATAAAAAAATTATTAAGGTCCCTGCAACTCCAAACTTATCAGTTGAAATTACACTTCCTTACATAAATCATTTTCCTTTCCCACTTCCTTTCTCATGTTATTTCCTTTTCCACGATTGTTTTACCCTGAGTTGCTACCCAGAGATAAGCATCACCTACAATATGCTTCTCTAATACCACCAGACTAGCATTTTTGTAATTTAAATATTCCCTTACAGCTACAACTAAGTAATCATGTAATGAGAAGAACATCTATAATAATAAAAGCGTACTATGTTGATTATACTGGATGGCCAAACGACCTTCTGGACGTCCTTCCAGACAACCTTCCAGACGAAGCCGGGGCTGTGAGGGCTGAGCCACTTGCACAAATTTCGTACATTGGGCCTCTAGTTATCAAATAAGAACAATTCAAGAGAGATACAGATTTTAAAATAGGCAGAAACAGATGCATTTGCTTTTACATTTTCTCTACTTCATCCCCTAAATTTCATTAAGAGCAAGAAACAGTATTTTGCATCCTTGATTAAAAAGAGTGAATTTAATTATAAGAATTCATTTTCACATTTAAATACCTCTCAGCTTTTGTGAGTGTTCAACATTCAGCCACAAGAAGCTTTCAGAAGGAGTAGCGAAGGCTGAATACTAAAAGGTGCCAAATCCTTGAACAAACAGGTAACTGAGCTAACAGGCTAAAAAGAAAAACTAAATCACTTAAGGACCATGATATTGGAAACCTAGAAACAACATAAGTGAAATATTGTCTCTAAGGCTCAGTTTCCATGCTAAAAACAGACAAATTTAAATTACCCCCTTTTGTAAGCTTATCTACGGGCTTGCACCATTCTTAAAACCATCATGTAAATTTTTTTGATCAATTATGAACACAATTCACTCATTGATTATAAAACCAAATAGGCTTATAGACAAATCTTCTAATTTAAAAAAATTATGTTTGCCTATGGTTAAAAGAGAATTAATGTGAATAAGACAAGGAACCAATAACCTTTTTAAAAATCTTTACAGTAACTCAGTATAAGGTGGTGTTTTCTGGGGAAGTTTCATAAAGAATCTCTGGAGTCCTGAAATAACTGTCTGGCAAAGATCTGAACAGGCCTCTCTAAAAATAACCATGGCTGTGGACTTCATAAACATTTTTAGAAATTAAATAGCTGCTAACTTGTTCCATATGGAAGCACATTCACAGAGTCCAACATGTTCATTGAGATCATCAGAACACATATACCAAAGGAAGAGGCAAAATTGTCCACAGTCGTTCATGATAAGCCAAAGGAAACAGATGATCCTGAAACTTCTTTAAAAAATAAAAGGCAAAGGGCTCTAAAAAACCACATAATATTCTTGCCCTAAGACTTCCTACAGTTTCTTAGGTCAGGCAACCTTTGAAGATCTCCAAATAGTAATTATTACTCATTAAACAAGGGCAATAACAAAATTGTTAAAATTTTGGACAATAGTTATAACTACCAATAGTTTTATAGTTATATGCCTTATAACTATATAAAGAGTTATATATAGTTTATATTAAACCATAAATTAATTTAAGTTTTTTTATTCAGATGAAAAGGATGAAGCAGAGCTTTTAAAAGGCTGATTAATTGATGATAGGCTTATAGAGACATAGTTATTCAAAATGCTCCATTTTGTCCTTTCACTCAGAATTCTAAGGAGTCCCAAATCATCTTCCCAAACACTGTTTTTGTTTGTTTGTTGTTCTGTTTTGTTTTTTTTGAATTCTCTTCACATAATAAAAGAGAACGAGCAGGCAGAAAACTAACAGCACCCTCTCCCATCTGTTAGTCTGTTTACTGACGTTTCAGCATCAGCTTATGCACGCTGAGGGTTTTATTCGTCCCAGAGTTATGTGAGTAAATTGGGAAAATTGGTTTCCTCTGGTAAAAAAAAAACACACACAAAAAAA